AGAGCAAGAAGCACAAACCAACTATCTAAGAAGATCTTGCCCTGAAGCAAAGTCATCAAGGGTAATAATGAAACCCCATCTTCATTCTGGATAAAGTACTTGGATACAGGTGCTAAACCATATAGTCTATGAGGATCACCATGATGATCATTAACAATAGCAGAGTAAGTGAGCACATCGTAGGTCGCTAGGAGCCCAAGGATGCCGTCCAAGATCATGGGCGTATCGGGGTTCTGGGTGCCCAACTGGGTTGCTATCTCTTGTGGGGAGAGCTTGGCAGCAGCTCCGGCTTTGGCTATGATATCGAAAATGTTCATTTGAGCTTAAATAATAAAATAAAAATTTATTTACATATAAATTTTATATATTATATTTATATAAAATTTTAAATATTTATTTTTTTATTTTTAATAATTAAAATTTATTATAATTTTTTAAATGAAAAAGATAATTATTTTTAATAAATATGAATAAATCTCAACTATAAAAAATGAAAATATGAATTATTAAAATTTTATATAAATAAGATGTATAAGATTTAAATATAACTATATCCCTTCTCTAAAAACTAACATCTTACATTCATATATATATATACACACACACACACACACACAATCCACATATAAATCTCAACTATAAAAAAATAAAATATAAATTATTAAGATTTTATATAAATATGATGTATAAGATTTACATATAACTATATCCCTTCTCTAAAAACTAACCTCTTACATTCATATATATATATACACACACACACACACACACAATCCACATATATATAAATTTTATATACTATACTTACATAAAATCTCAATAATTTATTTTTTTACTTTTAATAATTAAAATTCATTTACATTTATTAAAAATAATTTTTTTTACAAAAAAAAAGGATAAATTTTAATTATTGAAAATAAATAATTAAATAATTAAAATGTTATATAAATATAATGTATAAAATTTATATATAAATACATTTCCCTATATATATTTAAACAATCAAAATATCTTAAACTAACTCTTATACATTTCAAAATTAATTCCTCAAAGATTTTTTTTTTTTTTTTTTGAAGAGAGAATTAGAACAAGGGAGTTTGTGGACGAAACATTCTAAAGGCTAGAATTGTATAATGTGATGTAAGATTTTTATTTTTTGTCTTTTATTTTTTATTTTAAGTTACATAATAAGCAATAATTTACTCTTAATTTTTTATCTATCCTACTAGGATATTTACACTCAAAAGTAAAATCTTTTAATCTATTTAGAGGAGAAATAGGAAAAATTATCATTAAATTGTTTTTTAGAAAACGATCTCATAATTAAAATTTTAAATTTTTATATTGAAATTTTCAAATTTATATTCTAAATAGGTTGGTACCTAATGTGCCAAAAAAAAAATATATTCTATTAAATTGCTTAGTCATTTGGCATGTGATGTGAGCATTAAATGAGTCCATCCAAGAAACAACTCTACAAGAATACACGCCAGAAATTTCTAGAGGCGAAAAAGATCGAACACATCGCAGGCGTCAGTGATTATTAAAATTTGGTGGATGAATCACTTACAAAACTCCATGACCCAGAAGTTAAATACAAAACACTCATATTTGATGCAACTGAATCCAGCTTTAGTTGCCAATTTCGTGAATTCTTGCTGGGTCCTTTCCTTCCCACCTGGGTTTTGAGTCATCATCTGCACGTCAATCTGAGAAATGGCCTTTGAAGCAGCATTTGTCTCGGGCAAGACCGGAACAACTGATTCCACAACAATCACTTTTCCATCATCAGGTACAGCATCGTAACAATTCTTCAACACCTTGACACAGTGATCATCACTCCAGTCATGAAGTATCCACTGCAAAAATTAAGTTCCAAAATTCCACCTATGAGAAATGTTCATTCCCAAAAAGGCAATTGTAAGTCAAATCAGAAACTCACCTTCATGAAAATAGCATCTCCCTTGGGAACACTTTGGAACATATCTCCTCCTACATGTTCAACCCCTGAAATGAATCTATATTAATCTCCTTTCAGGCTCAGCATACTGCAGCACGATAATAATTGTGTTACATACCAGGGCATGGTGGAGCATGCTGAACAACATGAGGCAAGTCAAAATTGATTCCTTTGATGGAAGGATATTTGGCAGTGATGAAGCCAAGGGTGACTCCTAGTCCTCCGCCAACATCAACCAGCCGTTTGAGATGCTCAAAACCCTTGTATGACTTAAGGATCTCCTTGATAACCATGGTGGTATGATTCATCATTGCTTTATTAAAAACTTCATTGAATCTAGAATCCTTAGCTGGGTATTCAAAAGCATGAGTTCCATGGAACCGGTCAAATGGAACTCCTCCTTCAAGAATTGCATCCTTCAATTGGGACCTAACAATAACAAACAATAATGAAATTGATAAAATTGGGGAAATAATTGACATCTTCAGACAGAGTAATGGGTACACACCAACTGTCCAAGAAGACCTTGTCCTGAACCAAAGTCATCAAGGGACCTAAAGAAACGCCATTTTCATTCCGGATGAAATACTTGGAAACAGGTGCTAAACCATACAGCCTGTGGGGATCACCATGATTATCAATATCAACAGAGCAAGTGACCACACTGTGGGTGGCTAGGAGCATGAGGATGCGGTCCAGCATCATGGGCGCATCCGGGTTGTGAGTGGCCAACCGGGAAGCAATCTCTTGTGCTGAGAGCTTGGCATCTTCACCAGCGTCTGCTATGATGTCAAAAACGCCCAGCTGTGTAACTGTATGAAGAGCCATGGACATAACCGATGACATAACAAGCTGCATGGCATATGAGGAATGTTCTTGATCATCGCCGGCATGGATTTGGGTTTGGGATTTGGCTGAGGAAGCCATTGGAATGATGGATCTTGAAGTTACAAGAGATTTTTTAGATGATCCGTGGTTGTTGAGTTTTGAATGATGGAATGAATAAATTGTAGATAAGCAAAAAGCCAAAAGCAGAGACCAACATCCCAAACACCATGACCAGACAATCCAACTGGTCAACAATTAGATAGTACTGGCTGCTGTCTTTATCAATAGGTGCATGCATGAAGCCATTTAAAACAAAGCAAAGTTGCTAAAATATTCTACCAGCTTTAAGAAAAATCATATAGCAACAAAGTTAGAAGAACTAACATAAAAGTACTTTCTTCCAACCATAAAACGGCCGCCTTTATTATAAGGCACATTTTTGTTAATGTTCTTTGTTTCCAATTTTCCTTCTCAAACAACTGTGTACTAACTTTGACTTTGGGTTATTGAATTTCATAATATAAGCATTACACTGTTTTGACCACACAAAAAAAAAAAATTATTATCCTTAAAAATGGGTTTCGAGAACTGCTTTCCCTAGTCCTATATGTTTGCTTGCACCTACAGAGCAGGCACAGTAAGTGCATAAAAACAGAATCTTGATTTTTTCCTTCAATTCCTTATTTCTTTTCCCATGACTTAGCTGCCAGCAATGCGTTGTATTCTTCCCTCAGGCTGTTATATCTCTCACTCAAGTTTCTGAAGGTTTCCTTTCTCTCCTCTGGAACATCTTTTTTCTTCTTATTCTCCAGAAGCTGCTTCACAGATTCAATCTGTCTCTTCAGCTCTTGGATCTTTAATGTCTTCTCTTCATGCCGTTTTTGTAGTTTTTCCAATTCTGACACCCCTTTGCCTAAACATTTAGGCATTTATAAAAACATATCTCATTATTAACAACTTAGTTTGAATATTTGTCATGATTAAAAATGCAATTTTTTTTTACTTAACGAGGCATTAGTACAGTGATTAAGAAAATGTCAATATGTCTATCCTAGAAAGTTCAAGGCTCAAATCCCAACACCCTCATATATCAAAAAAAAAATAAAAGTTGTTTCAGTGAAATTGAGAGTACTTTGTTGGATAATTATAGAAAGCAAAAGCAATTATAATTTGTTACCTGGATTATTGTATGAGCTAATGCTACTGCCACTTTCCATGACTTTGTACAGATTCCTGAAGAATAAAAACCAGTAAAGATCTTCAGGCCTGTTCTTGTCTTGGTGAATTTTTCACCTTCAATTTTCACATGCTACACAATGGAATGAATGAGTGATTTATTTTTGAAGAAAAAAATAAGCACTAAAATGCTAACCATTTTGATGAGGAAGGGGGAAAGTGGGTAAGAATTACCTCAAAAAATCTAAACCGGATCAAGAAGAGTGAAACTTTGACAGGAACAAAGCAAAAACAATTATTATTAAAAAAAATCTCATGAGTTTAATTAAGACTAATCCCACCTATGCATGTCACCGACGTGTCACGCATGGGACCAACATTTCAGACACATTGCCAACATCTTTACCTTGGTGGCCTTCTTCCATTTGGACTCATATGCTAACATTACATGTTTCTCCAAAATCCAAAACATTAACCACGGAAACTGTTTGCTGATATAAACTGACTAACCTTACTGTCTCAGTGTGTGTTAATGCATGGAAGCAGAAGAGGGTCTTTCTTGGGCAGTTATGCTGCAATGGATGAAGAAGAGCATGCAGCTTCTTCATATAACAAGATAGAACATGCCGCATGACAAAAACAACAAAATGAGCATCTTACTTTGAGAGAAAGGAAATGGAAGCCGGTATATATGCTGGGCCATTGATGTCAAGTCTTTTACCATCTTCACAACCCCTTACAGTAGGGGAAGAATCAGAACACTATAGTGTTCTGCTCGCAACAGAAAAGACAGCAAAATGTTTCGAGACAGAAAGCTGATGATATTCGTGAAAGGGAATCGGATAAAGGAGAGAGAGACCTCAGATAGCAAGGCGTCCACGTTTTGGTATCAATGAGCATTCTTTCCAGGGTAGCCCAATTGCTACAAGGCATTGAAAAGTATTAAAGAGTTTGTTTTCTGGAAAGAGGCAATCAGGCTGACATGGTGTTTGATGCTGAATTTCCAAATCAATTCAGATGGAATCTCCAATTTGGCACAGGTCTTATCGAGCGTTACAAGATGGTTTTGTGTTATTTTGAATATACATAATTTCATAAATGCTATGCGTAGTCTGAGCAGTATTAGACTGTATCTGAACAGTATTAGACTATATAAAACTAACTAATAGCAAGCAATCATAAGGAAATGACAAAAGATTGTGTACAAATATGGTAGTTTGAAATGAGATGGTAAAATATTCATAGTTTCTTATAACTTTGTCCGTTGCAGTATGCAGTATGCACTTACAAAAGGAGCACAAAAAAAAAAAAAAAAAGGCCGAAAAAAGAGAAAAACCCTACAGTTTATATCAGTTCATCTGTCCTTCATGTATCCAATATGCATTTGCTGTCAGTAGTATTGTATTCATCAAGATGAAGTTGGGACTATCCACTACGGATCTATTCACTACGGATCTATTCTTCGCTGTATAATTTGGCTATACACATCTACAGGGTTCTTCCTTGTATATGCTTCCCTAATTTTCTGCATGAACAAACCAAAATATTACAGTATTATAAGGAACACGAAAATGCAAATAATAGGCTTTTAATTTCAGCTAATCTATGTTCAGTCATGCTCACCTTTATTTCCTACAGTTCACTAGCCTCATGCCCGTAACAAAACCTGATCCAACAAGATTGTCAGTGAGAACCGTGCTATTCTTGTGAAAAGATTGATCAAGTTATAGAGAATGGAAGCAATGAAAATAATAACCTGGCATTAAGAAGATATTGATTAAAAATTTAAACTGATGCCATGTCACTGGTAGAAGTAGCAGGCAACACTGGGTTACTTTCTGAAGAGGATGAAGAAGCTGTTTCTTTGATATTTTCATTGATTTCCACCAAAGGAGAGAAGTCAGACCTCCTCTCTACATCAGATTTTAGAGAAGAAGCTAAAAGCCCGTCAGGGAGGGCTTGGTCTACACTGCCTTCGGGATTTCTGAGAAGTAAAAAGTGAGAAAGTAGTCAAAAGTTTAGAATCAATTTCAGGGAAAGATGGCATGCAGAATAGTCCAAATAAGAAGTATTGTAACCGTAATTGCTGGCAATCTTCTCCAAATTTGGAAATTGAGATTCATACCGTTCCAGAGCATCACACCCTTTGGAGCTGTAGCTCCCACTCTTATCATCATCACCACTGTTTTGAATGAAAATTGAATTTGCTTCCTGCTGAAGCTCCTGCTGAGCAGTAATGGTTGAGATAACACCAGCAGCTGTCTTATCACTACTTCCTGACACAATAAAAGTAAATTAATGGCAATATATTTCAAAAAAAAATAATGGCAGCAAAGCTAATCCCTCCCTGTATCTCTTGAAGTCTGATATATATTCAACAACAGCAATTGATTGCCAACCTTCTGTGATTTCTTGACCAATGCTGTCAAGTGGAAGAAATGCATTTTGGTTTACAAGGTGGGCAGGCAAGGAAAGGGAAGACCCATCAGAGAGACTGCTATGATGATGGTGAGCATAATCCCTCTTGAAGTCCGGAAGTTGCAAATTTATGAACCTTCTCCTTTGAAGTTCAATAGCTTGCTGAAGATCAACCTGTTCTTTGTATTTTCTTAGCATCATCTCCTGTGGACTGTTCATCATCTTTGCCCCTGTAGATCAGACAACTTGCTAAAGTAAAAAGAAATGGTACACCATATTCAAAGGGAAGATATATTTTTAGCATTTCATCTCCTGAGTCCCTTCCCATCAATCTGTTCATAAACCACGCAGGGAGTCAATCACAATGCTTGTTTGTTCACTTCACTTACCAAGATGAAGCTCATACATCTCTCTAGCATCAAGCCCAGATGGGCTAGAAGATGGAGAATAGCTACCCATCTCTAACTGCTGCTGTAGATTTTGCCTCCTGAAATATAGTTGCGTGATTAAGGCATGACAAAGGCAGAAACACAAAATGAAAAGGCAAATGAGAGAATGCCATACTTTTCAGAGATTTTTCCTTTTTCCTTGTAGGGCTTCACAAGCACACGTGAATCGCATATAAAATGAGGATTTCCTCTAGCCAAAATTATCTTTACAGTCTCTGCATGAACAAAAGTAACGAAACCAAACATTCTCTTCTGCTGGTATGGGATCCTCACATCTTGAACTGGTCCATATGTGCTTTAAAAGGATATAAGAGGAACTAAATTCAATTGATCAGCATAAAACTAAAGAAATTCATAGAAGTTGGCTCATGGAAAAATCAATACAAGAAAAACTAGTTTAGTGGCTTTCTTATCTAAATTCTGCATTGGGAATGGCATACAAAAGACAAAGAGACATCTTATCAAAAGTGTTTGTATGCTAGAATGCTAGTTTAACATACTAAAGAGCCATTATTACTATCCTAAGCAATGTATATGCAACCTCCAAAACAGCTTAAGCATTTAGACACTCACCAATACGGATTTTCAATTCTGCCTTTTCAATTAGAAGTTTAGATCCAACAATTTTCCATCTCCAAGGAGAAAATGGGGTAAGTAGCAGGGTTTCTAACCAAGCAAACAACATTACAGAAGGCCTATATTGGATCAACTCTCCACCCTCACCCCTCAAGGACTTTTTCTTCATAGATAAAGGGGGAACATTATTTTAGATACAGTGCACGAATGGTTATCACATGCCCTAATCACTCCTACATAACCCTTTATCCTAATAGAACCACAGCAATTATGTACTTTACATGATCATAACCTCTGAGGCAGATCATGTTAAGTAGATTATAACCCCTTTTAAAAGGAGAGACTATAAAAATTAAATTTTGGGCTTTGAATGTTTAAGCTAGCACATTCAGGAAATAATAGTCTAGGATGGGTAAAAATTTACCCACAAGCCACAACTAAATAAGTAATTATAGCCTGTTAGGCAAGATAATTCATTAGACTGAAAGGAGATACAGTCTTTACAGAAACTTACCAGCCATGAGTTTGCTGAGTCATAGTCATGTATGTTCTAATAAAACAGTTAGTGACTTTGTTTAGCTTTGAAAACAACCCTAAATGGAGGTAACATTAAACAGTTTGCCAAAATGCTTCAATAAAATACCAACTCCTAACTCGTTTTCAAAAAAGAAGAAGAGGAAGAAGAAGAAGCCAATTTTCTTAATCCTTTGGATAGAAATATAAGATTAATCACAAATTCAAAACAATCCTCACAAAAGAGAAAATTATGTGAACGAACAACTGAGCACAAAAGTATGCTAAAGTTACCTAAAGTAGTTTGAAACATCTTCATCCTTAAAGGTGCTATCAGCCGGGAATGTCAAATAAATTTGTCTCGAAGCTGAGTTGGCCTTTTCTGCCAATCCCAATGCCAAGAGCTCATTCCTTTCAAGTTGACCATGACCAAACTTGTAGATTTCTTCATCCAACATGAATGCAGCAGCTCTATAATACATCAAATGCCACAAGGAAAAATTAATTGATAATGAATAGCCGAATTGTAAACCAAAACCAACTCTACCCATTACATAGCATCACAAAGGCAAAAGGCCAATGGGTATCTCCATTATACCTCCTGAAACAACTAAACCAACAGAACTTAAAAGAAATTCATTCCAGGGCAACAACAATAAGGAGAAATGCCAAATGGGTAAGCAAACTTCAATTCAGCTCCGGTTGACAAGAAAATCAAAGCCCCAGATCAAAACGGAACCCCAAATGGCAAACTTTTTAACTGTGATGCATCTCATGTTTAAAAAACAAGATAGAATCGAACAGAAACATATGGAATAATTACAATAATCAAAGATTCGGTGTCAAAGAAAACAAATATGTAAAATCCGTACATTACATGGTAATAAAATACCTCTGCTGTTCATTTTGCTGCTGAAGAAAAAGATTCATGCCTAGTGAGGAAGCACCGCCACTGAATTGTGAAGCAGCCAAGCGTTGCTTATAGAGAGCTCTCATTCTCATCATCTCCATCTCCTCATGCTGATGATAAAGAACGTCTATTTTGCTGGGTGAACCAACAATAAGGCCACCAAGGTCGACATTATCAGCAAAACCACCATGGGCAAACTTGCAGTTATCACCGTTCTTGCAGTGCCCTCTCGCGAAGTAAAGGCAAGGCTTGTACCCACCTCCAAAACCAACATCCTCGGACCCAAGACACACTTCACTAGCTGAGGAACTCCTTCTATGCAAATGGGTATTTCCATTGTTAACTGAATATCCAAATTGAGATCTTGGGTCAACAAAATCCTCAGTTTTAGACGAATTCTCGTCAAGGAAAGAGAAATATTCGTTCAATTGTTGATCATCGAGAAAATCACCACCCTCACCACTGTCATTTCCATTCTTGAGTTGCGAAAGTGGAGGAGCCAAACCCGAACCAGACCGTATATTATCGTAAAAAAGAAAAGGACTTGACTTTGGACCGGTGCTTGGCGACCTAGGTGGAAGCTTTCCATAATCCACTAAGCCATTCCTAGGAACTCTAGAAGAAGACTGTGAAAATGGGTTTTGCAGGGCGCTATTGGTGGGTCTGGAAATGGGATTTAACGGCGAGTGAGGGGAAGGGGCAGAGGGTGAAGCCAAGGCACTGGAAGAGAGTCCCAAGTCAGTTTTGGCCTTGGAAACAAGGGTGTGCAAGAGGGAGTCAGGAGCAAAGGCTAAACGTATCAACTCCCTCTCAGGTGGGTCTTGTATGAGGATGTAACCCATGATTTTTGTAGCATTTTCAAGGTCAATACTTCTGATTTTAGTGAATAGTATCTGCGTAGCGTCGTTAGGATCCATGGCACCTTCCCTGCCCTTTTTCTGGAATCTGTATCCCTCGTCTACAACCCAGTCTACCACTACCAGTACTACCACTACCACCACTTGAGAGAGAGAGAGAGAGAGAGAGGGACAGAAGTGGCGTTTGTGGGTCTTTGTTTGTTTTCTTTTTGTTTTCTTCTCTTTCTTCCAAAAAGCGGAAAAACAATGAGAGAATTGGGTAGTAGGGTTTTCAAGTGAAATCCAGAGCGGGCTTTGAGGAGCGTATCTCTCTCTCTCCCCCTCAATGAAGTTCTTCTTTTTTTTATTTTTTTTAAATTAACATATTCAAAAA